GTCCCCTTTAATTTATCTTGTCTTTTTTCATTTTATCTTATCTTAACTTATGCCATCTCATCTCAAATTATCTTATTTCATCTCATCTTTACATATCTTAACTTATCTTTACTCATCTTCACTCATCTCATTTTATCTTTACTCATCTTATCTTATCTTATCTTATCTTATATTTACTTATATTTACTTATCATATCTCATCTCATCTAATCTCATTTTATCTTAATAACCTGTGTCTTCTTGCTTTTACTATAATGCTGTAATAATAAAATAGGGAAGAGAATGTAAAGTACATTAAAGAGAATTTAATTGACAGCTAAGTAAAGAAGTTTGAACAGAGCACTTTAGGTAGATACAGAGGGGAATTCATCACATAATCCTTTCAAAAACATGACAAGTTGAACCAATTACAAGCCAAGAGAAAGAGGATTTAAACAGGTCGGTCCAGGGAATGTAAGCGAAGATGCTCGATGTATTAGAAATAGGTTGCACCAAAGTCTTAGAGCTTTTTCCGTGTGTGGTTTCTTTCCTCCAGCACCAAGGTTTAATTTGATCCAAGCAGACACCGGCAGCTGGTGGAGGGCATGTATGATTTGGAAAGGGCGATGACAAGGCAGTCTGTTGAATTTTGGATGAGTTGAAAAGAGGCCGGAGAGACTGGAGAGGCCAGCTGGGTGTTACAAGAGTCCAGACAGGAAATCAGTAAATTCTAAGCGAGAGATTAGCCTGAATACCTGATCACTGAGGTCTTGTCAGCTGTGATGTATAGGTGTTCTCTCTTGAGATTGGGTTTAAAATGTACAGATAAAATGCAAAAATACCAGATTTTCCTGCAAGCAGTGGTGAAAGTACATTTTCTATACTTACACGTTTAAGGAACTTTATTTCAGTATTTACATTTTATTCCATTTTTCAATTCTACTACACATAAATATTGTCATTTTTGCTTAACTACATTTGTCTGACAGCAATAGTTACTTTGAGGATTACAGATTTCATTCCCCAATGACAAACTGCCAAAAAACGTCACAAGGCGCAGAAGCAAAACTTGCTGTTCCTCAGGGTACCTTGCATGGTCCACTTAAACAAAGAAACGTTATCCACATAAGAAATAAAGAAAAAGAAAATGTATTATTATATGCTTATCATCTGCATATAGTGATCAATATGATCCAGACGGACGGGATAACAGTAAGACGTTTCCACTGTAAGTAAAGGATCTAAATGCTTCTTCAAATGGTGAATTGAGTGCATTTATAAAGCGCTATTTCAGTTTGAACAACCTTTTAAAATCGCTTTAACATGTCAGCATTCACCCATTCACATCCCATCCATACAATGTGCCACCTGCTCAGGGAAAATAACATTCACACAGATTCACACACTGTTGGCCATCGGGAGCAATTTAGGTATCTTAAGGATCACCTATTATTCAAAATCCACTTCTTCATGTCTCTTCTACATCAACATGTGTCCCCTCTTCTTCATGTCTCTTCTACATCAACATGTGCCCCCTCTTCTTCATGTCTCTTCTACATCAACATGTGTCCCCTCTTCTTCATGTCTCTTCTACATCAACATGTGTCCCCTCTTCTTCATGTCTCTTCTACATCAACATGTGCCCCCTCTTCTTCATGTCTCTTCTACATCAACATGTGTCCCCTCTTCTTCATGTCTCTTCTACATCAACATGTGTCCCCTCTTCTTCATGTCTCTTCTATATCAACATGTGCCCCCTCTTCTTCATGTCTCTTCTACATCAACATGTGTCCCCTCTTCTTCATGTCTCTTCTACATCAACATGTGTCCCCTCTTCTTCATGTCTCTTCTACATCAACATGTGTCCCCTCTTCTTCATGTCTCTTCTACATCAACATGTGTCCCCTCTTCTTCATGTCTCTTCTACATCAACATGTGTCCCCTCTGTGGAAAGAGACTCTGAACGTTTCAGGAACAAAGATTCTCTCTCTTTTTGTCCTGATCCATTTATATAAAAACCTGTCTGAAAATGAGCTGATCAGATTTTGGCCACTTTATGATGTCATAACGATGTTTTGTCTTGTGTAACCATTAGCCAATCAGCAACCAAGGTAACCCCCCCGCCCCCCCTCTTATCACCTGAACCTCCTCCTAGAGCACCATTGTGTTCTTTGTAACCAAATCTCTCTCAGAGGGGCGTGGGGAGGGGCTCCTTATTTTCATCTAAAGTAACAGACAGAGAATCAGCACTTTGGAAACAGGGCTGATACAGAAGGGAAACACTTCAGATACATGTTCTTAATATATCTGAGACCTATAATATATTGATGAATAACAGTATAATAGGGGACCCTTAAGTATCTACACGTTGACTGCAGGGGCGCGGGGTCAAACTACTGACTTTCTGATTGGTGGATGACTGCTCTAATTCCTGAGCCACTGTCACCCTGTGCACGCAAGGCACTTAAAATGCCTGTGACCTAGATGTGTCCCTAGCTGTACTTCAATAAGATGTCACGAGCTGACCCGAGAGCACCGACCTGTGTTGTGGAAGTTCTGTCTCATCCGGCAGTACAGCTGCAGCCGGAGGCTCCAGAGGCGGACTTGTCTCTGGACGTCAGCCTGAGCCTGAGGCCCTGCCCCCGCCTTCCTCGATAACTCATTCTGCTTCTCCTCCACCCGTTTACCCGCCAGCGCCACCAGAGCATCCAGCTTGAATCCCCAGTCTGCCGGTCGGCACACTGAGAGGGAGGGGAAACAGGTGAGGACAGAGCGAGAGAAAGGACAGATTCTGAATATTTTTGCATTTAATAACGTTTTGCTTAAGTAAAAGTAGCTGTTGGGAGAATACTGAATGTGCTCTTCCAAATATCAGAGTAGCAAATGCTAACAAAGGTATCCCAACTGTAGCTGTGTACATGACAGGATGTATGATTACCTAGCATCAGGACTGTTTTAGGCATATGATAGCTATGTGATTAACATGATGATTCAGCCTCTATGGAGATAGACATATGACTGTCATGTCTATTGTTTACGTGGGCCTTAGCTAATCTGAACTAAGCATTGAATACTGCTTTGAACCGGTATTCCTCCATCTTGTGACTGTGTAACTCCCTCTCTTATATATCAGCATCAGAAGGACACTGTTCAGGAACTAGTTGGACCAAATGCTCTGTATGTGATGACTACTGCCATTCTTGCAAGGATAATAAATACATGTATCCTGATATTGAAGCTCAAGCCGGTGACGAGTGATATTTTACTAACAGTAGCAATGCTAAATTGTGAAAAATATTCGGTTACAAGTCCTGCATTCAAAATGTTACTTTACTAAAAGTACAAAGGTACCGGTATCAGTAACACCTCTGTTATGCAATATGTCCCTTTTAAGATTATTGTTATAACTGGCTGCTATCTCTTAGATAGACAAAATATGTAAATAACTTTGTGCAATATATACTTTTACTTTCATTACCTGGCTGCTATCACACTAATTTCTACATCTTACCCTTGTTTTTCTAAAATACTGCAACTGCTACTTATAGTGTGCTTTGTACATTTTAATTTGTGTCATCTCTATTTTTCATATTTTGTGCATTCCTCTTAATTAATATGTTGCTATTTCTGAAAAAAAGTGTATACTTCAAATATTTTATTGATTTATATATTTTCTACTGTTGACATGTATATATTCTTTCTTCTTTGATTATTTTGTTAACTCAAGTGTAATGTATGTTAACAAACTGCTGTGACAAAAAAAATCCCAATTTTGTATAAATAAAGTACATTTTATCTAATCTAATCTATACTTAAAGGTGGGGTAGGTAAGTACGGTGGCCGGCAGGTGCAAACGCGGAACAACGGCCCAAAACGCATACATAAGCAGGAAACACCTGCAAATAATGAAATGAAAAACAAACAAACCCTGAAAACAAATACAACAGAAAAACGCTGCATTTACAGAAATGTTGCAAACTAAATACAACACACAAACCCCGAAAACAAACCCAACAAAAAAACGCTGCAAATACCAAAATGATATGCAAAGTCCAAAGCACGTACAAATCCCAAAACACATACAAAAAAAACATTCCGGAAGTGCTCCAGGCCTCTAGGGGGCGCGCTACGTGGAACAGATTGATGTCTGACCAGACATAGAGAGAACGAACAAGAGTGATGGAAATCGAGAGGAAAGAAAGTTCATTTAAGTGGAGAAAGATATAAGAAGGTACGTTTTGTTTTTATACATAGAGCGACATATTTATATAGCTAGCGTTAGCGTGCCTAACTACTACACCAGCTGAGGAGAGCTTCACGTGAAGAGAAGATAAAGTGAGGGAAGAACATTGTTAAAAGAGATGACAAATCAAGTGCATGCAAATAACACGGGCCATAGTGAGTACCGCGGAAAAAGGACATTTAAATTCTTAGCAGTTTGTTTATATGTATATATTTGTGTATAGATGTTGCAACTATACAGAGCTTTAGCAATTACCTGTAACTATGGTCATGCTAATAAAGCTATTGAAGAGAGAGAGAGAGAGAGAGAGAGAGAGAGAGAGAGAGAGAGAGAGAGAGAGAGAGAGAGAGAGAGAGAGAACATGTGAAGAGGGACAAAGTAATGACAGTAGTGTGCATTAGACATGCTCAAGAACAAATATAGAGACATTCAAGGAGAGAAAGAACACAGATTCAACGGTAAACATGATGTATCTTTCTATTTATTTAGCTAACCACTATTTAGACTATGTGTTTTTGATTAACTTGATTAAATGGATTTAGTACATCAATGTATGTCTTTTCAGGCCGCCATGTTTTGTCCTTTCTGTGGCCAGCATCTGGGGACAGTTCAAGTGTTCTGTGGCTCCTGTGGCAAACATGTACAGTTTTTGGCAGAAGTTGAACACAACAGTAAGTTCACTTTTTTTATTGTATCTGTTTCAAATGCAAGAAATAAGGATTCAACACACTGCTCTGTTTAGAATACTAATTGGCAGATGCATACACTAGTTATCAGCATGAAGGACACATTTTTTCATTGTCTGTTTATGTGAAATATGTAGAAGCCATCATTAAATTGTAGACCAATGCATGATTAAATACACAAAACAGCTTATATTATACATTCATAATTGTGTATTAGTTCTATCTTTATAGAGAACATTATACATTTAGAATCAGATTTTGAGACAGTGAGCGGCTGGGAAAGTCACACCGCCATGGGGCACAAACAGTTGCTGACGTGATGTTTTCTTCATTCTCAGGCATTCCATAAGGAGGGTCAGGAACTCACGCTTGGGACCACCATTGTCCCCTCCATCCTCAGTGTGTCCCTCATCATCAGTGAACTTAACTGACATCTCATGAGAGGGATCGAATGAGGCACCTTTGAAGCCGCGGATTGCTCCATCCCACACACTGGCTCTATTAATATTGAACCTGCTGCAAGATGTATTTGTTATTTTTGCAGAGAGTTCTGCAACAAAGTCCGCCGCAGTCAGGTATTCTGTGCTGGGAAAGACAAAGTGATGTATTGTAATATTAAATGATGAAGCTAGTAATAAGATTTACAGAATAGAATATAAAAATTAAGTGGTAATAGTAACAATTAATACCTTTGCTCCATTGTGTCTTCTGGCTCAGACTGGCTATCAATAATGATAAGTGCATACACAGTTGTGTAGTTGCTGCAGTGAGAAGACAGTTGAATAATTACTTTCAAATACCTAATATATGCATGACAGTCATATTTACAAAAGGATGTCGATCCTCTTCCTGTTTTTTCAATACATTGGGTTCTAAACTGACAACAGCACTTTTGTCATACTCCTGCACAATCCTTGTAAACATTTGAAATGGATGCAACAAAAAATATCTGATCTTTGAAAAATATTTGTGGGTGTTTTTTGTATTGTCTTCACTAAGATGTCAGATGTTGTGGGTGTCATTTGGAAATGTATAAAATTATAATCGTTCTGCTTCCTGGCAATGTTACCCACTGTGATTGGAGGCTATACAAACAAACAAATGTAAAATAAAGATACACAGCAAACAACTGTGTCACGATGCAACTGTCAACCTCGTTTACCTATAGAAGTGGTTCTGACCCGGGGCAGACTGGACCTCTTCCTGGAATGGGGTTGGTGCTCCATCCTATTTTTACCCAGGAAATAAGTGCACACAAAGGTATTTATTGATTTCATGTTCACAAATTCAAACCTACATGGTATAATTACATTTGTAATTAGTCTTACCCGATCAGACGCTGGTTGTGGGTGCCTGAGAGGTCTGATAAAGGTTAACAACAAATATATTCAAACTACTGTACTGTTAAAACATTCTGCTTCTTGTGGCACAAAATAATATGTTGACAATGTTTTATTTTACCCTGCAAACTGTTGTCCATTCGTGGAGTGCTCACTTTTGGAACATTTGGAATGTCCCACACCTGCATACAACACACAAATGACTGACTGAAATAAAATAAATTCACTTTAATTAAGAATAAATGCCACGATAAATCCAAACTGACCAAGGTACAGTATATTGTTGACCGTCCTTTAACTCTCACATTAGGATTTACATTGAAGCACAATAAACCAACTCCTCTCTGCACCTATAATATATCTATATGATGTCAAGAGTTACATTTAGGTGCACAGACAGTGCTGTCTCTTGACTTGCAAGCTCTTTCACCAAACAAGCTAACGCTAGCTGGGTAAATATGACGCTCTTTGTATCAAAACAAAACTTACCTTTTTATATATCGTCTTTTTCCACTTCGATCAACTTCGTTTCCTCCGGCTTCAATTTGCAGCACTCTTGTTCGTTCCCTCTATGTCTGGTCAGACATCAATCTGTTCCACGTAGCACGCCCCCTAGAGGCCTGGAGCACTTCCGGAATGTTTTTTTGTTGTATGTGTTTTGGGATTTGTATGTGCTTTGGACTTTGCATGTCGTTTTGGTATTTGCAGCGTTTTTTTGTTGCGTTTGTTTTCGGGGTTTGTGTGTTGTATTTAGTTTGCATCATTTCTGTAAATGCAGCGTTTTTTGGTTGTATTTGTTTTCAGGATTTGTTTGTTTTTCATTTCAGGATTTGCAGCTGTTTCCTGCTAATGTATTTGTTTTTGGCCGTTGTTCCGCGTTTGCACCTGCCGGCCACCGTAGGTAAGAATGTAGAAACCAGCTCAAGTGCGCTAGAATTTTAAACTACGCAGCCGGAAAAAATCTGCCACTTCCTTACAGAGCCCCTCCTCCAACACACACGGACGCGCACATGACCAATGAGGGCACGAGATAAGTTTGTGCACAGATGGAAGGCTGACAGGCAGGTAGGCCATCCAGTTACTTTAGCCGGGCCGGCTCAGATGATTGGTCGTGCTTTCTACAGTACCACGGCTTCCACAGATGAATTTTTAATGTATTTTTTGTCAAAGCACTTTAGATATTCATTGCTATCGGGATGTTAAGAGCATTCCATGGAATATAACAAATAGTGTTTCTGAGGTGAATTACCTACCCCACCTTTAATACAATACCTGAGTAAATATTCTTCATAACATCCCACCACTGACCACCAGCACAACTGTATAACATTTAAAAATCTTACATGTAGGGTTATGTCGGGCTCCCGCCTTCGTCAACACATGGAGGAGAGGGGAATTGTGGGTAAGGGCAGCGACGTCCAGGGGGACCAGGCCCTGTTCGCTCACTCTGTTCACCCCCCTCTCCCTCTCTCTCTCCCAGTCCTTCTCCTTCTTCTCCCCTCTCTCCCACAGACCCCCTCCCCCTCCCCCTCCTCCTCCTCCTCCTGCAGCATGGTTGTGGTCTCTGGACAGCAAGCTTTGTACGGCTAAAGTATCCTCATTTTCCACTGCTTCCCACAAGGTCTTGTACTAATGGGGGAGAAGGGGAGAGGAATTGTGCGGGTGAGGAAAGAGGAGATCAAACGAGAGAGATTTATTTTATGAGGGAAGGGAGTTGCTGTATGGAGACAGGAGGACACATAAATCAAATCATAAATCAGTGTCTCCTGGGGAAATGTATTCATAGCTAAACAGAGTTATGTAATGTCAAAATAAGATCTTGCAATAAAAAAATTATCTATAACCCTGCCAGAGGACATTTCAGACCCAACCTTGAAATATTGTGGTGCAGGAATGAGTCCTTAAACCTGGGAATGAGTTAGCATTTTACCACTTGTGGTTCAACCGGGAAGTCAAAAGGTCTGTGATTAACACACGCTGAAGATATGTTCACGTTTTGTGCTACGATATAGAATACGTCACTAAAATACCCCACTGGTGGATGTCTGGAGCTTTTAAGTGTCATTAAAACAGCGGTTGCTACTGTAATCACTATTTTAATCAAATTTAGTTGATAACTTAGCATTTTAGCAGTTCTGGTTGCCTTATCTGGAAGTCAATGCTTCTTTTAAAGTGTGTTTGGTTAAATTCCTGAAATAAGGTCTGTGGTATTTACTGACAAGCTTAAGAGATTTCTACGTTTTGTTCTACGACATAAAATATGTCAGTAAATACCCCGGTAAATGTCTGATGCTTCTATTAAAAACGTTGGTTGCTAACAATCGTCCAAATGAGACAATTAAATGTCATCACGCTGGGAAAATCCCATTGGCTTTTTCCCAAAGGAGCCCTTGAGATGCTAACTTCCGAGTCGGCCTACAAAGATACGTAACAGTTCCACTTTATGATGTCCAAGTATCTTACAGAATCTGCAGACTTGCTGAAGTGTTTGGTTGTGTCCAATTCCTTGGAAACAGATGACTCTCCGCCCCTCAGTCTGACGGACAGGTTTCTGTAGATGCGTTTGGGAGAAACTGGACCCAGGGAGCGCCGGCGCTGGACTTGATTCCTCATGGATATAGACATGACTGGAGAGAAGAAGAAGAGGGAAACAGGAAATAGAAAAAAGAAAGAAGAAGAACAAGTGAGGGGAGTGAGGGATAGGTTAGTTAATGGAGAGAAAGATTAGGACCCCCAAACTAAGAGCCATAGAGAGAGAAGAGGAGAAAAGTGGCATTTGAATCAGAAAATGAGGAATGAAGAGTGTGAAAAAAGGTCAAAGTCATTAGAAACCTGGAGGGCGGAGAATGAAGTGAGAAATAAAAAAGAGTGGGAGAAAAAAGCAGAATGTATAGTCAGTTTCAAACAGATTCTTCTACAGTAAATGCAATATTCTGCCGACTTGACAAGTGAGTATGGGCAGAGCTCAGTAGTGCTGTTGTGTGGGTGGATAAATGGACAAAAGTTACAACGCCTGTGGATGAAAAATGCCTCAAAGTATTTATTATCGTGCTTCTTACCATTCTCCCCTTTGTTCTTCTTTGACTCACTATTATGTGACACGGGTTTAATTTGCTTTGAATGGAGTCTGTGAGCGCACAAAGCGACCGACCCATCCATCTAATTAACTGAAGAAGAAGCAATCTCATGTGGAAAGAGACAAAATATTCTTCCCTTTTATAATAAATATGAATCTCTTTTTGCATCATTGGCTGGAAGATAAAAAAAATCCATCATCAGCACCGCAGTAATGATGGTTCATTATCAATCCCGACGCTTTTTCATCCTTACAATCAGTCACTTTTTGAGACTGAAAATCTGTCACACGTTTTTTTGTTGTTGCGAAATTCAGTCTGGCTCTCCCCTCATCTCGTTTCACTCAGCAAGTCTTACATTTGTCATTTGTCTTTCTTCTCATTCCCTTTCTCCTCACAGCCCTATACTTTGACGTCGCTTCGATTTACGTCATGCCCCGAGGATACAGATCTTTGAAATAAAAAAAGGGGGACATTCAAACTCTATCCTCTCTCACATCAACGCTTTCCCATTTACGTAGAAGCCTCAAATTTCAGCGTTTTTTGTAATCCGAATCAATTCAAGCTCTGAGTAGTCCACTGTCCTTGAGTGAAAGTGAATACTCCCCGGGTTGGTGCTACTGTATCTGAGGACACAATGTGAGATCCACATTGCTGTTGGACATGCTTCCTCTCCGGCTTGCACAGTACCTGCACTGTCTCTGTGTGGGCGTAATATAGGGGTGATAATACCAGCCATTGTTATTGGTACAGTTTGTTTATTATGCCTTATACCAGTTGTTGAAAGTGCTGATAGGACAGTTGAGAGAGGGGGATTAGTGTTAGTGTTTGCCTTTTTGTCCTAAGGCAGCACAAAGGTAAGACAAGGCAAAACACGTTGGAAATGTCACGGTACGGAAAAGATCTTGGTGATACTCTCGGTGATACTCTCTTATTATGATTATCAGTTACAAAGGTCCTTAAAAGAATAAACAGATCCTTTTACATAACTGAAGCATGTTAGCAGCACTTTAGCATGTTAAATCAACTACAAAATCAAAAATAACATCAATAAAAGTAAAGGTTTTAGCTTTTAAAATAAAGTTCGATGATATTAACAATTAATATTCGCAATAGGCTCTCCTGACTGTACCTTTAAGGTTAAACCAATACTCAGTTATGTCAGTTATTTTACTATTTACAACTTTTTTTTATTCACTACTGAGAGTCAATGTTATCTCAATGTATATGTGATACTAAAATATATCAATATGTATTTAAAAAACAACATGCCAGCAGAAAATGCCATTTAAATAAAAAAGTGCCCACTTATTCGCAGGTCAAACTACACAAGTATAATATGTAATAAAATAAAATATATGTAAATACAGTATAATTGTAGAAAGGATGTAGGTATGGTCAATTTGGTTTATCTACAGTATAGAAGCAATGTTAAAAATCCTTCCTTTTCATTTACACCCTAAAATTGTTTGTAGTTTAAGTCGCTTAATACACAGAAAATGGCAAAAACGACTTTGCACTAAAAAGTACTGCAAAATGTATTCAAACTACGAGTTTAATTTCCCAGCATTAATGTACACAGTTATAACCCATAAGAGAATATCAGTTATGTGAGCAGGGTTATGCTTTAAAACGACCCTATGCAAAGCCATAAACAGACACAATAGCGTCATTGTGGTTGTGCTGCATGTCAGTATCTCAGGCTGTGGTGAAGTTGGGTTTTTATCTCAGTACTGCAGGCCCAAACACTGAGAGTAAAGTCTGCTGCATATTTAAGCTTTCTGTTTAGTCAGTCTCCTAAATTCTTTGGCTCATGAGTTCAGATGTGCATGGAAACATCTGATGACTAATACTTCTAATCCCACAGGAAGTGATGTTGTTCGTTTATTTCTGTGAATACACCACAGAGGACATGAAGTTGTCAGCATACAGTGTTATGTTGCTCCCAAAAAGGCATTTTAAATACTAATGTTATGTATCTTTTTGATTAAGAGGATAAAAAAGAGAATCTTGTGTCAAGGAAACAAAGGTTTGGACATATATATGTTTAAATAGATTACAAATGGACAGAGGTGGGACCAAGTCATTGTTTTGCAAGTCCAAGTCAAGTCTCAAGTCATAAAATGTGTGACTCGAGTCCAAGTCATGTGACTCGAGTCCACATCTCTGCAAATGGACATTATGCATTCATACTGTACTGTACATGCACTGCCATACTAAAATGTATATGTCTCTAGCACACAATAGACATATTAATAATGTACATAAAATATGCTTTAACTGGGTAAAACAGTTCATTAGCATAACATAAGTGAGGCAACGACAAGTTGATTAGATATTTAAAGACATCACCTAAGACTTTCAGTAACTAGGATTTTTAATTTTTATTTGTAATGACATTTTATTGTCTAAAACTAACTTAATCAAGCGTAAAAGTACAGCAGACAATTCAATACTGAATAATAGTTAGTTGCAACCCTTTAGACAGTGTGCATGAGTACAGTTCATATT